GTTTTGCCTGAAGTGGTAAAAATACCATCTGCCTCTGTCTTTTAGCAGCATGCTTACTTCAAGTAGCAGTAGGCTGCATGCAGGCATACGCTCCGCTCCAGCTGGGGAAAATACACAGACGCCTGTAGCTGTTTTTCTAAGCAAGAGTAGTCAACATACTCATTTTCTTCTAGACATATATATTAGTTACCATAGCAGACCAAGTGTGAACATGTCCGAGAGGCTTCTCCATCAGACTCAATGTGCACCCAAGAATTCCTGCAGTTCAACAGGTGGCACGCTTTCCTCCAGCTCTGAACGGAACCAACTGTGCTTACCCCTGGGGCCAGCAGCCCAAGGATCAGGACGAGGCTGACAGATGCACACCCTGGACTACAGACCAGACGTATTATGCACAAGAGCAAAACTATTTAGCACCAGCTCTGGGGGCATGATTCACTTCTGGTAATTACATCCCATTTCATAAAGTTTTTTCTGTGCAGTTTTTTTTTTTTTTTGTACCGGGAATCGAACTCAGGACCTTCCACTTGCCAGGCAGGTGCTTATGCCACTGAGCTATATCCCCCGACCCCTTTTTTGGTGCAGTTTTACCCTGGCAAGTAAGATGCTCTTCGTTTTCCAGGCTTAGAAGCTAGCACTGCCATACAGTTAAACAGCTTCCGTCCTTGTCCACTGCCTGGGTAGATGGGCTGCAGCAATGGGCAGAGGGACTCAGGTGCTTGTGTCAGCTACCTTAAGAGGAAAGGAATTAACAGTTGTCAAAGTGCTTTGCTGGCTTAAGAGGATGAGCACAACAGCAGTGTAGAGCATTCTTATCCTGTACCCACTATAACAGGAACTCAAAACTAATTCAATTTCTTATGAGTGTTTCAGTCCAAACACTGTTTCGTTGATGTGAGACATTCCGGAAATCCAGCTGAGAATGATCTGGGAATGATCACCTCTTCTACCTCTCTCCTACTTCCTTGATATCCGAGACGCAGGAGCTGGCTGTGGTGGCACATGCACACAATCCTAAGCCTCTGGGAGGCTGAGGTAGGAGGATCTCAAGTTCCAGCCCAGTGTGGGCAACTTAGTGACTTAGCAAGTCTCTGTCTCAAAATACCAAAAAAAAAAAAAAAAAAAAAAGTGACAGCATAAAGGCACAGTGTATTTCTATAGTTTGCTGAATTCTGATTTTTCACATAAAATTTGGCTTTTGAGTAAATACGCAACACTTGGAAATAAATTTTTCAGCAACAAATTTCATCGAAGTCTCCTGAAACGGCTGCTGAGTTTTTCAAATATCATCTTACAGATAAGTGTATCAGAGGAGCCCTCAGCCACCAAGTACGACTCCAGCATTAGTCAGCACGAGCAGTGATCACCGGAACGGAGCGGGAAACCGGTACACGTCGCTACGGCCCACGGTGCGCAACACGAGAGACAGCGCGGCCAGCTGCGCCCTGCAGACCTCTCCACTCCCTGACAGGAAGTGTTCCCCTGTGTTATTTGGATTTAAGTCTGTATAAGGATGACAAGGCCTGGATCAATTCCTGAAATCAATCCAGACCAGCTGTGCTATGCCTTCACCTGCTGGAGTAGCGCTGTATATTCAAAAGGTGGGTTTCTGTTTACAGGATGGATAATATGGTCACTGTCCACCCGCCCGGGGAGATGCCCTTCTACCACGCTGGTCAGGGCTACACTGAACAGCTGACAGACTCGTGATGGTGGCTGGTCTGAGTCTCTGATTGTCGATCGCACACCTCTCACAGCCTCCTGTATTTCTCTGAACCCTACTGCAACACTCATGCACGTAGTTTGTCAAGCACTGCTCCATGGAAGCCTGTGATGGGAAGGATGATCCAACCATGACCCAGGCCATTCAGGCCTCTGCCTTTAGAGTTTAGGTCCCACAGAAGAATAAAGAAATGAACAAGCAACAAAACAGATGTGGTAAGTGTAGATTTTGATAAATGCTAAGAAGAAAATGAGCAAAGGGTGAGTGGCTATGCCGGACGGGAAAGCTACTGTCAAGGGCGCTTGTGACACCAGGCCCAGATGGTGTCGCTCGTGGCGGTCACCTTAGCTCGAGCAGCGCTTGAACACATTATGCGTCCCATAAATCCTGGTGGGCAGAAAAGGGAGCGAGCCCGGCCTCAGCAGCACACAAGGTAAGAACGCCTCCTCCCAAATTTGGAACAGGCCAAAGACTAGGATGGCATTATCGTAAACTGTTCACTTTGTACTGAGAACGCGAGGGACCCACAGCAGATTCTACAGGGAGTTGCAGTGAGTTCTGCACAGTTCCAGGGTCCAGAAGTGCTCTTATTTGCTTTTGCCTTTTCCAACAGAAATCTCTCCCATTGTCCAACCGCTTCTGTGATAAGGAGCCCTAGACATTCTGTGTGTCATCAACAAGCACCAACATTCCACACTCACTCTCTTCCTTTCCTATTTGCATGTTTACCTTTGTTAGCTACCACCGACAGTCCCAGCCTTATCTCCAGACCCGTGTGTAACAATCTAAGTCATCTTCCTAACCCCGTTTATACTTGTGATGCATCACTTTCCTTCCCCTCTGCGCTGCGGTTGAAGCCCCATCTCAGCTTTTCCATGTACTTTACTTCTTCTCAGCTCGCCTCCCACGTCTTCTGTTTTTTCCTTGTGGGATGAGCACCACACGAAGGGCTCTGCACATGCTAGGTAAGCGTCCCACCGTGAGCCACATCCCCAAGCCTGGAGCCTTGGGCCTTCTTTTCTTACTCCTGTTCTCCATCTACTCATCACTAACTACCAGGCACAGGCTTACAAAGACAAAACAGACATTGTCCCTGCCCCCGAGAGCCACGGTCTACAATCTGCCTCACAACGGATCACTGAGAACAAAGGAGAAACTACAATCACTGAGACGCACAGCGTGGTAAGCAAAGGAGGAAAACACCTAATGGGGGGACCCAGAAAGACTCCCTGATGGAGGTCATCTTAAAATAAACTTCACAGCACGAGCAGCGGATTGAAGATACAGGGGGAAGGGCGGCCCAAGAGGAACAGTCTAAGTGGAGACGGAATAGAATGCCGTGTCCCATTATGTGGTGCCTGGGCCAGGAGATGAGGCTACAGGGTCCCTGTGGGCCGCGGCAGGAGCGTCTCTCACGTGGTGCCAACCCTGGGGGAGAGAATAAAAAGGGCCAGAGGGAAACATCAGGGGAGACGCCCACAAAATAATGGGCTCTGGGTGTGGCAAGGCAGGCTCCCTGGGGACAGTGTGCCGCTGTGAGGTGGGATCTGGGCGGCAGGGAGCTGTGTCCGTGTGTGGGTGTGACGGGTGTGGAACTCTGTACCCTTTGCTCAGCTCAGTTTTGCTGTGAACCTAAAGCTGCTCTAAAAAACAAAGTCATGAAACGACAACAACAGAAGCAAAAGGATGCGAGCTGCAGGGGAGGTCGCTGCTCAGGTTCAGCTGTGTTGCGCCTGCACACCTGCGGGAGGCCGGCGGATGTGTCACAGCCTGGGTGGGTAGAGGATAAGGCTCAAGAGACACGTACGACAAGAAGGAAAAGGAGGCTCAGACGTGCCCTCTAAGAGTGACTGATACGGAAGCTACTGTCCACCTTTTCTTGAAAGAGGGGAAAGTTGTGATGCAGGTATAAGGAGAGATGGACTTTGGGCGAGGAGAGCAAAGGCACAGAGCGTGGCTGTGCAGCTCCGGGCTGCGAGATTCCGGTGAGTCCTGGAGAGGTTTTGTGGGCTTGGGTTGTCCCACGGCAAGTATAACCTTTCCGGGTTGGATTCTTTCGTCTCTGTCTCTGGAGCGCAGGTAAATTCAGCCCCGATCCTCCGGCTGTTGCGTCAAACACACAGCATGCTGCTTTAGCCACGCAACGGCATGTATGCCACACACCTGCTATCTGCCCTGTGCCCCCGAGGGAAGACACAACCGGCTGTTCCCGGGCCACACTGGTGCCGGGATGCGAACTCCTGCAGCAGTCAGCAACCAGAACTGTGCGTCAGAATCATCTGGGGGGAACTTTCCAGAACACTCCAGCCTGCCCCGCCCCGCTTTCCCCACCAGGGGATTTTGTTCTTGGAAGAGCTTATGATGCTGTGGTACCCAGGCAGGGGTGTTTTCAAGAGCTCTGCAGGGGATCTCTGCTTGGTACTGTGCTCCTCAGATGCTATGGTTTGAGTCTGTCCCCCAGAGGTCTGCATGCCGGGGACCTAACCCTCTAGTTCATGCGCCGATGGTATCTGGAGGGGGCCCCTGTGGGAGGCGACAAGGGTTAGAAGCAGTCATGAGGGTGGAGCCCAAAAGATGGCTTCTTCTTTCCAACAGAAGAGACAAGGCTAGCATGCCTCACCATGGGTGGCCCTCCACGGGTTATTGTGGGCCAAAAGGCCCCGCTAGATGCTGATACTCTTCTTGGACTCCCAAGCCTCCAGAACTGTAAGCCAAATAAACTTCTTTTGTTTGTAACTTACCCATTTCTAGGCATTTTGTTATAGCAACAGAATATGGGCCAAGACACAAGATATTCCTTAATAGTGTTAAAAGCTGTCTTGCATCCACAGGCCACAGGTGTCTTTGCACCTGTGGTTAGTGACCTTGCCCTGTTTTATTTTGCTTCATAGAACTTTATGCCACCTGACATTATATTATCTTTTTTTTTTTTTTTTGGTACCAGGAATCCATCTCAGGACCTTGTGCTTGCCATTATACTATCTGCTTAGTTGTTTAGTTAGTTATCTGTATCTCTCACTAGATTATAAGTGTCTTGAAAGGAAAAACTCCATTTGCTTCACTGCTGTACTCATACTATGGTATCTGGAATGAAACAGGCACTCTCTGATAAGTACGTTTATGGTTGAATGATGTTTTCCCACCTGCTGATGACTGTTACTCAACAAGAAATGTCCCCAGCTTTCAGTAGGATTCTCTTTTGGTCTTCAAACACAAACAAAAATGAAACACAAACTAACGTGTGTAAAACTGTGCAGTATATGTGAAATGTACCTACCTTAGCATAGTTTAACCTTCCTTTTTCTTGAGCCTAAAATAAAAGACAGAAAATAGTGTTAGTTCTTTAAAAAGTATTTAGGGCTTCTATGATTTTAGGATCTGGAGAAATAGAACTCAACCCCTTCTCCTCCTTCTCTTTTTAATATATATTAAATATTATATTACATTATATTATATTTTATTATTTATATTATATTCCAAGTACTCTCTCTGTTTCCAACAAGAAGACACATTGAAAGGACAGTACAATGAGCGAATCCCACTGCACCCAGACCCAACAGGGGCTGACACCCTGAGTCCCTGCACACCTGAGCATGCACCGTGTATACATGGGACATTGCATGCACAGCCACTTGACCACTACCAGGGGAAGACAGTAACAAAAATGCCATGTAACCTAACATCCAGTCCTTACTCAAATGTCCTCAATTCTTACTTATGCACAGAACAGGAGAACTTCACCTGATAAACAGGTTAGGTCCCGAGACCACATTTTTCCTGAATCTAAAATGAAATTATGCAAATAATTAATGTGGGTAGATGACCTCCATGAGGGAAATGGAAATATTTATAACACTGGTTCAGACAGTTCTTTTTTTTTTTTTTTTTTTGTTACCGGAATCAAATGACAGTTCTTTTTTCTTTATGTATAATCTTTAAAACATTTTTCCAAAGATGCCTACATTTTTTTTTTTT